AAAAAAAAAAAAAAAAAGTTAGCCAGGCATGATAGTGTATGCTTGTAGTCTCAGCTAATAGGGAGGCTGAAGTGGCAGGATGGCTTAAGATTGGGAGATGGAGGTTGCAGTGAGCTGGGATCCACTACCACATTCCAGCTTAGATGACAGAGTGAGACCCTATCTCAAAAATTTATTTAAATGTACTAAGAAGCCCCATATCAATATTATCTTTCTAGATAACAGGTATAGCTGGGCCATCTTGTAGAGCAAGTGGTCTGTTCATGTTCAGACAGAGCAGAAAGCCTATACATTGCTGGACAGTGTTAAAAATGCAAGTGCAGACCGGGCGCAGTGGCTTATGCATGTAATCCCAGCACTTTCAGAGGCCAAGGTGGGCGGATCACAAGGTCAGGAGATGGAGACCATCCTGGCCAACATGGTGAAACCCCGTCTCTACTAAAATATAAAAAATTAAGCAGGCATGGCATTATGTGCTTGTAATCCCAGCTACTCTGAAGGCTGAGGTAGGGGAATTGCTTGAACCCGGGAGGTGGAGGTTGCAGTGAGCCAAGATCACACCACTGCGCTAAAGAAAGAAAGAAAAATTTGCTGGGCAGGATGGCTTGAGACTGGGAGATGGAGGTTGCAGTGAGTTGAGATCTCACTACCACACTCCAGCCTGGATGACAGAGTGAGACCCTATCTCAATTTTTTTTAAAAAAGTACTAAGAAGCCCTATATCAATATCATCTTTCTTGATAACAGGTATAGCTGGGCCATCCTGTAGAGCATGTGGTCTGTTCACATTCAGACAGGGCAGAAAGCCTACACATTGCTGGACAGTGTTTAAAAGTCCAAGTGCAATAACGTGTTAATGAATATTAAATCAGTGGTAAAGAAACCCATTATGATATACTTCTCATTGTTCACAGAGGTCTTATGGGAGAGAGACTCTTGGAAAGTAAAAAAGATCATCAGCTTGGAGAAATTTTGACCCAGGTTCCAGATGACATGCTGAAGAAGAAAACTCCTCTTCGAGTAAAATCACGTGGAGAAGTCAGCATGGGTCATGCATCCCTTAGAAGTCACCTCAGAGCTGACACTGGACACAAGCCATATGAGTATCAGGAATATGGACAGAAGCCGTATAAATGTACATACTGTAAGAAAGCCTTCAGCGATCTCCCCTACTTTCGAACACACGAATGGGCTCACACTGGAGGGAAACCTTATGACTGTGAGGAATGTGGAAAAAGCTTTATTTCCCGTTCAAGCATTCGAAGACACAGGATAATGCACAGTGGAGATGGACCCTATAAATGTAACTTTTGTGGGAAAGCCTTGATGTGTCTCAGTTTGTATCTTATCCACAAACGAACTCACACTGGAGAGAAACCATATGAATGTAAACAATGTGGTAAAGCCTTTAGTCATTCTGGTAGTCTTCGAATTCATGAAAGAACGCACACTGGGGAGAAGCCTTATGAATGCAGTGAATGTGGGAAAGCATTCCATAGTTCCACATGCCTTCATGCACATAAAATAACTCACACTGGGGAGAAGCCATATGAATGTAAACAGTGTGGGAAAGCCTTTGTTTCTTTCAATTCCGTTCGATATCATGAAAGGACGCACACTGGAGAGAAACCCTATGAATGTAAGCAATGTGGGAAAGCCTTCAGATCTGCCTCACACCTTCGAACACATGGAAGGACTCACACTGGAGAGAAACCTTATGCATGTAAGCAATGTGGGAGAAGCTTTGGATGTGCCTCGAGTCTTAAAATGCATGAAAGGACTCACACTGGAGAAAAACCCTGTAGTTCCAGCAATTTGGAAGGCCGAGGCGAAAAGAATGCTTAATTCACATAAGATTCCTTGAAGCCACGGAATCCAATCATGGCAAAAATGTGTTTCCCTCAAATAATGGGAAATATCAGAAAATGATTCTGAAGCTTCTGCAGTCACTGTCATCTGACAGCATCACAAATAAATGCCAGTAACCCAAGAGCAAAAAGTTTTGGGGGTCAGTTTAGCTGATGCCTCACTCTGAGACCTAGGACACAGAGTTGGAAATAACTCTTAAGAGAGACACAACTCAAACAGGCGCACTCAAACAGTGACTCATGCCTGTAATCTCAGTATTTGGGGAGGCTGAAGTGGGTGGATCATGAGGTCAGGAGTTTGAGACCAGCCTGGCCAACATGGTGAAACCCTGTCTCTACTAAAAATACAAAAAAATTAGCTGGGCGTGGTGGCACAGACCTGTAATCCCAGCTACTCAGGAGGCTGAGGCAAGAGAATCACTTGAACCTGGGAGACAAAAGGTTGCAGTGAGCAGAGATCACACCACTGCCCTACAGCCTGGGAGACAGAGTGAGACTCTGTCTCAAAAAAGAAAAGGCACACCTCCAGTAAGACCTTAAGACAGTTCTGTCATTAAAAAAAAAGAAGATTTAGCTGGGCATGGTGGCTAATGCCTGTAATCCTAGTACTTTGGGAGGCCAAGGTAGGCAGATCACACAGTCAGGAGTTCCAGACCAGCCTGGTGAAACCCCATCTCTACTAAGAAATATAAAAATTAGCCAGGTGTGGTGGCACACACCAGTAGTCCCAGCTACTCAGGAGGGTGAGGCAGGAGAATTGTTTGAACCCAGGAGGTAAAGGTTGCAGTGAGCTGAGATCGTGCCACTGCACTCCAGCCTGGGTGACAGAGTGAGACTCCATCTCAAAAAAAAAAAAAAAAATACCAGGTTAGCCCAGCAAAGTGGCAGGTGTATATATGCAGAAAAGTCTGTTCCCTCCTATTGACAGCCCAATACCTCAGCAGCAAGCCCTCACTTTAAGAAGCTCACTGAAGGGATAACTGAGGTACCGTTGTCAGACTCGCTGCCTCAGAAAGACTTTTATCAAAACAAAAGGCTAAAGTTCCTATTCATAAATATCCCTAAAATATCCTATCCCCTATTATAGGATATTAATAAATGGTTGGCTGTTGAGTATACTACATATTTTATACCATTCTTTCTCATGAATTTTTTTTGAGATGGAGTCTCGGTCTATGACTGAGGCTGGAGTGCAGTGGCACATTCTTGGCTCCCCACAACCTCTGCCTCCTGGGTTCTAGTGACTCTCCTGCCTCAGCCTCCCAAGTAGCTGGTTTACAGGCATGAGCCACCATGCCCAGCCTCTAATCTCTATTTTTTTTTCTTTTTCTTTTTTTTTTTTTTTTTT